AGGTGGTAAGGTACACCAAACAGTCTATTCCCAGGCCCTGCCCTCAGCGGCCTACCCTGGGAGGCACATGATAAACGCATTAAAAATACCAGCAGGAGGACTCTTGAGATACAAGCCCACAATGTAAGTGAGGCCACGAGGCAGCACCAACATGTGCCAAATGCATTTATGGCCAATAAATATTGTAGGAACCCTGAGAAAGGAGCTATACTTGCAACTGAATGCTGGCTGAGCCCTCGGAGTCAAAAGCTGTCCCATTTCAAGAACCACATCACCCTCCAGCCTGCAGCTGGGCCTAGCTCTGCCCCCAAGGTTAGACACAGTGTCTAAGGTTTGTATCCAGGCCCATGCCTGGGCACATGCTTTCCTTGTTTCTAGTCCTAAGATGACTTATGTTACACCTGCAATAAACATATATAGAAATGGCATGCCCATCCCTAGCCTGCTGTTTGCCCCAGGATGATATTAGGCCCCACTTCTCAAGTTTCTCAGTGTCTGGCTTAATACATACCCTACCCTGATCTGGTCACAGATGCTTCCTCAGGAGCAAAGGGAAACCCCTTCCCTAAACCCAAAGACTTGCTGCCCAGCTTGTGGCAGGAATGGGGTGGGAGGGTGGGGTATGTTTGCGGGTGAAGGGGCTGCTGACGGGCTCTAGTGCCATCTTCCTGGAGTCACAGAATAATAAGGACTCATTATTCCATTTAGACTGCTCCTTAAATCAATGGAAAAATCAAGGGCCAAAAATGTGCAGTGGTTCCTCCAAGAACACACAGCTAGTACTGTCCTCTCACAGGGGAGATAAGCAAAGCGCTCTCCCTGGAACCTTGGGGCTTGCACTCCTGCAGACAGCCTCCTGGCCTTATGGAGCATGGGAGGGGGTGGTGTTAGCTTTCCATGCTCTTCAGATGGGCTGGAAGACGACAGGATAGGAGCGTACGATGTCCTCTTCTCTCACCCTCTTCCCGAGGCTTGGAGCCCCGCTGGGTATTCAAGAGTCCCTCGCCATGCTGACACGGCCCTGGGAGATGCCACCCTGCTTCAGGGTGGAGGAGGAAGTTAGGGAAAGATCTATCCTCCTACCCCCAAGCCCACATCATGGAATCCATCCTGACCCAGTTTCGGGTCCTTCTCACACATCCACAGGGGCAGGGAGAGGGGAGGAGTGGTAATAACGGAGCCCTTTTGTGACTAAAACTTGCTACTGGCCTACTCGGTGACCATGAAAACATGAGACTCCTAAGCAGCCAGCAGGCAATATTTCCCTGGACCAGAGCCCAGGATTATAGGAATTGCTCAGATCTGCGGTGCATGAGTGAGTTCGTGCACATACATGAGCATCTTTCCCATGGAGACTGAGGCATGGGGTGGGCTAGCCCCAGACATAACGATCTATCTGGTCGTGTTTCTACGGGGCTGGAGAGTAGTGCCTGAAACTGAAGCTCAGAGAGGTTATGTGATGTGCCCAGCCAGTGGCAGAGCCAGAATCTGAACCCAGGCCAGAGCTCTCCCAGCACCCTGCACTTCCGTGTGCCTCTGTGTCTTCAGCCACAAAATGGATAGACTATAAGGTAATGATCATTATCTCACAGGTTGTTGGGGGGGAACAGGAGGCAATCCATACCAAGTGCTTACTGCGAGGAATGACAGGAGTCAGCACTCGCTGTAGTCCGTGATTCAACACATATTAACTGTGTGCCTCCTGGGTGCCCAGCACACTGCTAGACGTTCATCAATAGCATTAACATTTAATGGAAGTGGAGTACAAAGTAGAGAAGAGCCAGGAAGAGAAGAAAGGAGTCAGTGCTGCCCAGCTGGGCCCTTGGAACCTGCTGGAAGAATGTTGTGTAATGGGCCTGTCTCCTCTCAAACGTTCACCTCTGTCTCTGAGGCCCTGGATGCTTTGTTCCAAAGACCCGCAGTAAAATCCCACCCCATTCTGCAGGGAGTGAATCCAGAGAGGGGAGCACGGGGGAGCAGGGCTCTGAGAAGCCCAGGCCTGCTCAGGGTAGGGTACAGCTAGATCACAACCTTCCCACTTCCTCTGACATGAAATCCCTTCCTCCCCGGCAGCAGGGCATTGGGCATCAGGAGAGATCTGCCCGGGCACAGGATATAAGAGCCCTGCGCCCACTGGAGGGGAGGATTGCTCTGCTGGTAAATCCTGCCTCCCCTATAATCCTAGTGCTCGGAGAAAAAAATGCTAAACCAAACTCCCCCCTAACCAGCCCAGACCAATTCCATACTGGAGCAACGGCCCAAGCTTTCCTCGACTTCTCCGTACTCCTAGCCCCTCTGACATGATTCCCTCAATCTTCCCCCCTCAATTCAGCCAACATCATCTAATGAGACATGTCCCCCACCCATACTCCTCACTCCTTAATCCTGTTTCCTGAGAACATTCCACTCCTCCTGCTCACCTTCCACCAAGGCAAACTGGGGGCCTTGCACCACTTTGTACAAAGTTCTGGCTCAACCTGGCAACACCTTAGAGCTTCAAGAGAAACTCCTCTCTCTCCTTTGAGGAGCCAAGGAGCATAGTTTCAAGAAAGCCAGCCTGATGAAATGTATATACAGTTTGATGCTACTGTACCCAATTAGAGGGCCTTCAGCTCTTAAGGTGGGAAGTGGGGCTAACAGAGGAGGGATGAGAAGCGTCTGTAGTGCTGGCAGAGCCCCTGTGTACAGTCTGTGCACTGCACAAGGGGGTGTCATTCACATTGTGGCACACCTATAGTTATGCAATGCAGTAGCTCTGAGCTAGCAGCTTCCTGCCTTTCTGAAGAAGCTGCCAGTGGGTCCCCAGAGCCAGACCCTCCTGCCCAGCCGTCTTTGTCCTCCTTCTCTCTCTGACCCTGTGCTCCTGTAGCCATTCAATCTACCTTAAATAGGCTTTTTTTTTTTTTAGAAGAAATCCGCCCTATAAAGCCTGGGGCCACCCAAATCAATACATGCCCTAAAGCTTTCCATGAATCCTACGGGGGGCAGGTCCTGCAGAATTTCAAATCTGGTGTCTTTTTTCTGATGAGCACGGGAGGAAGTGGGAAGTGGTTGGCACCAATACAGGGAGACAGGTGGGCAGCCCTGTGCCAAGGGTCAAGGAGCCAATCATTTATCCTTGCCCACAGAGTTGGCTATTGGAAGCAGGCGGAGGAAGGGAGGGGGAGCGGCATCTTTTATTTTTAAACCTTTACTGTTCTGATGAAGCGTTTCTTTTCCCTCTGACCTTCACCAGTCCCACTTTGGAAGATCAAACAGCCAGCGAGTCTGAGGGAGGCCTGGACCAGTGACACATGGATTCCGGACGGGCCAGCCTGCTGCCGCCCCCTCGCTGCTGTGGCGGGCTTGCTTCCCGGGCAGCGGCAGGAGACTGCAGCTAATCTGTGCTGGGCCGGCAGGGGCCACGGAAAAGGCCTGGCTGGAGCTCCTCACTGCCTTGGCTAGATCCGCCCACGGTGGGGCAAAACCCCCCACTCTGGTGCCCAGGCCACTAGCCAGGCCACTGGCAACATGCGATTCCTTCTAATGAATTACATACAGCCTATCAATATGCCTTTGGAGAGAAACAGTCGCTTCTCTCACGATAACGAAAAGATCCATCTCTCTGCCTGTCCCCATCATTTGGCTGGATATCATATGAAGCATGTGTGTTTTAAACACATTTCTAAGAACTCTGGATGCACCCAGTTTAAGAGATGAGGAAGGTCACGGTGCGGCCTGTGTTGTACGAGGTGGGAACGATGAGGGAATTTGGGGGATAAGGAGCCAGACCTGGGGTCGCAGGAGAGGCTTTCTGGGAACTGGCGTCAAAGAGCACTACTGGGTCGCCGGGACCAGCATTTGTCTCCTCTGGCGCATCCGGGTCCATCCACCGGCTCACCCACCCCCTTCTCGGGGTCCCAGCTACGCCCTCCGCCTTCCCCTCCTCGCTCTCACTTCCCCCTCTGGGAACGCCGCCTCCAGTTTCCTGATCTACAGGTGCCCGTAAACAAAGTGCTGCAGCGACGCTGGCTCTTCCGCAGCCACCTCCCCACCCCCAAGCCCGCAAAGTTCCGCCCAAGGTTAAGCCAGGATTCCGGCGGCCCTCCGTGGAGGGCCCCCAGACCCAGCTTCTGGGCTTTCCCCTCTGCTTTCCAAACCCATGGGGCCATGGAGTCTTTCCTGCGGATCGGAACCGCTCCCTCAGCTCCGTCCGGGCTGGGCTCCCCTATGAAAGGTTGGCCCAGGAAAACCAGCGCACACGCCGCTCTGCATGGGCACCCCAGACCTGGCTCTGGAGGCCACCCAGGGATGGCCTCGGGTATTTTCACCGCCATCGCCAGCTCCCCCTCCATCACGGACACGCCTTTCACCATCTCGCCTCATGAGGGTTTCTATGATCCTCCCCGTCACCAAACTCAAGCCCCGGCCATGGGTCCTGTCCCTCTCTGTGCCCCCTCCCCCCAAAGCCCAAGGTGGGAAAAGAGGGCACCCGCGCAAGACGATGGTATCTTCTACCACGGGCCCCACCCAGACCTGCCCTTTCTGCAGTGCCCCGTATGTGGAGCCTGCAGCATCCACCCGGCAGGGTGCACGCCTGGGGGTGGCTCGCCAAAAAAAATAAATTAAAAAGAGGGGAGCAGGTCGGAAGCCCAGCTGCAGCCGGGGCCCCCCGCTCCAACCGCTCTGCATCCCGCACCCCGCCTGCGGGGGAGACCCTGTCTCGAGCGCGCGCCCCCAGAGCGACTGCTTGCCCGGGCGGGTATGGAACTGGGGGTCCTAAGCCCGCAGACGACCGGGCCAAGGGAACCCAGTGAGGGGGCTGCAGGCTGTGAGCGCGACTAGCTGGAGCTCGTTGGGTGCGCGTTGTTTACTCTCGGTGCAATTAGCTGGCTGGGCTGCCGGAGCCTCTGGCTGCGAGCGACCTGCAGCCGCAGCTCTCAGCGCGGGGGTCTCCGCTCCGAAGCTCGCCCCTCAAACCCGCTCCCCGGCTTTCTGCCCTCTCAGCCCTGCCGACTCACGTCTCGGAAGCGGTTCCAGTGCTTGATCTTGCCGCTGTATTGAGAGATGGACGACAGCCATTGCTCGTCCTCCATGAAATTACCGGGGGTCTCGCCCTCCTTGAGCCCTTTGGCGTCGCCTTCGGCCAAGGCGACCGCGGCGAGGAGCAGTAGCGGCAGCGCCAGCCGCCCGCAGCCCGGGGCACGCATCGTGGTCTGGGTTCGACCTGGCGGGTCTTGACTTCTGCAGTATTTTAAGGTCCTTTCTCTCAGCCCGCGGTTGGCGAAGCAAACGCTGTCGTCTTCCTCAGCCCTCCTCCTGCGGTCTGACTCCAGTAACAGGCGGATAGTGGGTCGTGGCTGAAATGTGACCTGGTTAGGAGACGCACTTGTCTGAAAAAGCCCAGCGCTGGATACGGAGAGGAAGAGAGAATCAGAGAGGCTGCGCCAGCAGGGGCCGTGTCTGTAACTGTAACATCAGCATCACGTTTGACATCATCATACCTGGTTTAAAAAAATTAAAAAAGAGGGGGTAGATTTCAAAGGGAAGTGCTAGATCAGAGCGCCCAAAGCCCGCCAGCCGCAGCAGAGCTCAGCCCAGCCCAGCCCTCAAGGAGTTGCAAACCACGGAATCCAAACCCGAGGCGTCCCTGCTGTCCTTCCAAGGGTGGCGAGCAAGAAGGGCCCCGGCGTCTCCCCAGGGAAGACTGGAGTGGGAGAAGACACAAAACTCTCGGGTTTCAGAGCCAGCCAGGCTCAGGTGTCTAAAAGGGAATTTGGCCACAGACACTTTCTCTCCCCTCGCCTCCCACCCAGAGGAGCCTGCCCCACAGCCCTGACAGCTGGCTTCCTCAGAGTTATGGCTCTACAGTAATGTGTGGCTTTGTGAAGACAAAAGCCATATAACACCTGGCTGCCTCCGAACTATTGCTCCCCAGCCCCACATGCTCTTTTCAAGGCGAGCTCTGAGCCCTGAATGGCTAGTAAAAACACAGGCAGATGTCCATCCTCCCCAAGCAGCTGTTTAAGGGCTGTCACCCCTTTTGTTAGTTCTTCTTAGGGCAACCCTAAAAGGCAGATGTCTGACCATTCATCTGCCTTGATGCTGCAAATTTGGAAAAGGCACATTTGCTCATGGTTTTGACTTCAAGTTGATTTTAATAAGTCACTGGGAAAGGGGGAGAAGGCGGGGGGGGGGCTGGTTTTGTTGGAAGTGTTTAGGTTTTTGTTAAAAACGTAACCCTTATCATTGCCTGTAGAAATGTGTTGACATACCAGCTGGGAATGCTGGGCACAGTCCCAGGATCAGAGCAGAAACGAGGTGAGGTTTACATTACAAATAAATTGAAGAGGAAACGGGTAATCTGACAGGACAAAACATTGAACTTTTGGGACGCAAGCCCTAGATTGTGTTATTAAAAAAGAAAAAAGAAAAAAACTTGGCTGCTGTGATCTTTTTAAAAAAATCAAAGACCATGAAAAACATGATCTTAATCAGTAGAAAACACAGGTTGTAAGGCTCATGGTCACCCTGAGTCTGGCTTGGGAATTCTGAATGCACAGGCAGCTTGGGCTGGGATCCTCTTGGGAAACAGAAAACAATAGCTCCCTTTCCGTGTTTTCTTTGTCCTTTGCAGTTGGACTGAGGTAGTGCTGCAATGAGGCTCTGGCCATTAATGTCTTCATCTTGCAGTAAATAAAGCAGCTTTACCGGGTTGGATAGCAGCAAGGTACACAGGAAGGGCAGTTTGTTGTCATACAAGCTGGGTGTGGAATCCCACTTCCTAGCTGGGTTCGGGGCAAATCACCGAATCTATTTTCTCTCTACAAACCAATAATACCACCTATCTTAGGAGATTGCTGTGAAACTCATGCAAAATTACATACTAAGTGCTTGGGCATCGTTGGTATTTAAAAGATGTTAGTTCTTCCCTCAAGTTGGGAAGAGAAGGCTATGATGTCCCATGGTTCTGAAAATGTATTCAACGTTGCAATCTTTCCCCACCAGCTCAATCCCAGTCTTTTAGCAAAGCTAATTATATGTGTCTCCAAGGCACTCAGGATGTAGATCCTCCATAGATATCATAGCTCTCCCATTCCAGTGCCAGGCTTATGAAGTCCTTGGTCTTCTACAATTACCCAAGTTGTCCAAAAAGTTTGGGAAAGCACTGACAAGATGTCCATCAATAAAACAATAGCTGTTTCCAGACCTTTAAAGGTCAAAATATTTCCCACACTCCTGGGCTGCTCCTCCAATGGGACTTACCTTTGACACACCCTAAAGCTGGGTCAATATAACCCTGTGCAGAGAGCAAATCGCCAACAGTCCAGGGCTATTAGTTAAACCAACAGTAAAGCTATTTCGGAAACAGAATCCAAATTTCCAGGTGACAGATAAAAGAGTGGTAGAAAATGGGCAATAATTATAGTTTATAACAAAGAAAACGTTTTCCTAAATTTTGAGAGTACCAGCAGGTCAGACTTTCATACCAATGGGCCCAAAACTGCTGGGTGTACTTGTCAAATGATGCATGTTTTTTGCAATTTTCTGTTTGTATTTCACATTTAGCAATAAAAAATGGAGATACCTGTTTCCAAATAAGAAACTTAAATTTAACCACATCTTGAAAACCATTTAATCCCACTTCTAGATGACCTCACAAGCATAAGACAAATGCACAAAAATATTCAATCCAGACTTGTTTAAATAGCCAAACCAGGAGACCGGTTACTGTCCATTAATCAGGGACCAGCTAGTTAAATTATAATCTGCATACACAATGGACTATTGTGCAGACATTAAATGTGATGTAGATCTGTACCTAATGAAGCTAATGTGATCCACTCCATATTTCTGAGAAAAGCTCATTATAGACGATCACATATAATATCATCCCTTAGAAGAAAGTAGAGTGCAGTTCTCAAACTTTCTGGTCTCAGGAGTCCTGTACACTAATTACTGAGGACCCCAAAGAACTTTTGTTCATGTGAGATCCAGATATAGCTGTAATTTACTGTACTTGAAAATAAAAACTAAGCCTTCCTCTCACTTTGGGTGTGAACCTAAAACTGCTCTAAAAATAAATCATTTTTTGAAAAAACAAAGAATTTAAAAACATTTTTAATTCAAAAATAACAATGAACCCATTACATATTAACAAAATAATATATTTTAGGAAAAACAACTGTATTTTCCCCCAAAAAAGGAAGAAGAGTGGCACTATTTTACATTTTTGCAAATCTCTTTAATATCTGGCTCAAAAAAAGGCAGGTCGATTAGCTTATGCATTATAGCAAGTATATTAGTTTGCTAGCGCTTCCATAACAAAATACCACAAACTGATGATGGCTTAAACAACAAACATTTATTTTCTCAAAGTTATAGAGGCTACAGTCCAAGATTAAGGTGTTGGTGGATTTGGTTTCCCCTGAGGCCTCTCTTCCTGGCTTGCAGATGGCCACCTTCTCGCTGCGTCAGACGTGGGTCTTTCCTCTGGCCGTGCATATGTCTGATGCATTTTTGTTTTCAAATTTCCTCTTCTTACAAGGATACCAGTCAGACTGGATTAGGGCCCACCCTAATAGCCTCAGCCTCATTTTAACTTAATTACCTCTTTAAAGGCTTTATCTCCAAATACAGTCACATAATGAGGCATTGGGAGTGAGGGATTCAACATATGAATTCTTAAGGGACACACTCCAGCCCATAACAGCAGGTAAAACTGGAAATAGCTAGTAAGAGCACAGTAGAAGTACTGAGAGCAAACTGAGTTAATCTCTAAAACTACATTATTTATACCCTAAACCTTCCAACTCACAAAATTCCAGAAACACAAAAATGTAATGCAAGCACATATTGCATTGGCCATCAGAGTGATGATGTCACCATGTCACATAGCCTCTGGAAAACTCTACTGTACAGCCAAGACAGAATGAAAGTGAAAAGGGCAAATAATACCTTATTAGTTTTATGAAAATAGTGTGAGCCTCACGCACACCCTAAAAGGGTTCTGAGGGACTCCTAGGGTCCACAGACCACATTTTAAGAACCGCTGGTTCAAGCTGTATCACCTCAGGCAAATCTTTTAACTTTGTTAAACCTCAGTTTGTAAAATGAGGCTAACGATAATACCAACTGAAGTGGGCTACTGTGAGGATTAAATGAGTTAATACACAAATAAATGACAAATGTGAATGTCCAGCTAATATTTGCTGTTATTGAGAAAAATTACTTAACAATATAGGATACGATATGTGCTTAAATGCATAGGGAGTAGTAACATCTGAATGATGAAATTTATTTTATTTTTTTTAGCTGAGCCATACTGCCACCTGTTGGCAGCTCAGCAGCAGCTCAGCTCAGGTCGTGAATCGAACCAGCGACCCTGTTGCTCAGAGCTCACACTCTTGAGCAAGTTCTTAACCAAATAAGCCACTCGGCCGGCCCTGAAATTTATTTTTTATTTTTATTTTTATTTATTTTTATTTTATTATTATTATTTTTTTTAGCTGAGCCATCCTGCTACCTGTTGGCAGCTCAGCGGCTGCTCAGCTCGGGCTGGACTCGAACCGCTGTTGCTCAGAGCTCAAACTCTTGAGCGAGCTCTTAACCAACTGAGCCACTCGGCCGGCCCTGAAATTTATTTTTTAAACAAACATTTAAATTGAAGTATAACATACACATTGAAAAAAACAAAGTATAAATAAATATATAGCTTGATGATTTTTCACTAAGTGAACTTATTTTATCTTTGTTAAAAAGAACATTTTATTAACAACAGAAAACACTATTAATAAAGCACCGCAACAGCAGCCCTTTCTCACTGACAGCATCCTTGAGCCCGGATATCCATGCTCCCCCTAGGCATCGAGGTAGAATCTGAGAGGTGTCCCTCAACTCAAAGAGCCTCTGGTGCCACTGGGTTCCCTTTAACTCCAGGAAAAGAGCATAGTGCAAGGGCAAACCTGAACAAAGCTTGTATCATTATGAAGCTGGATTCTCACCGATGTCCAAGGAGCTCACTTAAAAATAACTGCTGTAAGTAACATTTATCATGTCTCTATCATGGGTATAGGGTCCATTTGGGGGTAACTCATTGTGCCCTCTCCAAAAAAAATCAAAATTATTCTCCGTATCAAAATTCCTAATACAACAACACAGATCTTGTGTAATAATTGGGGTGAGAGATTCATTTTCCTCTTCCAGGAATTAAGGGTGAAGTCAGTGCCTCAAAAACCAGCTGGAATGGGCAGCTGGTTAGCTCAGATGGTTAGAGCACGGTGCTGATAACCAAGATTGCTGGTTCAATTCCCACATGGGCCAGTGAGCTGCGCCCTCCACAGTTAGATTGAAAACAACGACTTGACTTGGAGCTGATGGGTCCTGGAAAAACACACTGTTCCCCAAAAACAAAAACCCAACTGGAGTGATGTTAGGTGCAATTTAACTATTTCAGTGAGAATGAACTGCAAAGTGGTAATATTAGGGGAGATCTGATTATAAACACAGGAGCAAATCCTGCAACATTTACTCCATTACAGTTTGGTGAGAGAAGACCCTGAATCTTGAAAAAGTCTTTTAGCTCCATCATAAATTATTTGCTCTCTACCACTGTTGTAACTTTCATAAAAGTTCTATATCAAAACTACCTATTAGACCCTCTTCTACAATAGGAGTTAAAACTGTATTTTTTCGAGAGCTATAGTGTCTCAAAAATTTATCTATAGACTTCTAGAAAGAAAATTTAAAAGATAAATTAAAAGTTTTTCCAATTCTACCAATACCTACCAACTTACAAAACTGTAGAAATCACAAAAATATACAAGCACACACTCCATTAACCATCAGAGAGATAATGTCACTGTGTCACATAGCCTCTGGAAAAATCCACTGCACAGTCGTGAGACAATGAGAGTGACAAAGCCAAATTACTTGTGAAAAATTACTTAACACCACAATATGTACTTAAATGCAGTGACCTCTAAATTCTAAATAACAGACTTTCCAATTCTGTTAAGAATTTAGTATTTGATATACGAAGCTACATTTTCCAAAGACAAAACTTTTTTTAAAATGTATTAAAAATATAAAGTCATAAATCTCTGACATCCCAAAGAATCTGTACCTCCTGGCCAAGGTGGCTGGGGCGGGGGCTGTTGTCAGAATGAAACCAGGAGAGAAGCAGCACCAAGATGAGATGAGGGCATGGAACCCCACAGCCGACCTTCCTATTTAGCACTGTCCTTGGGGCACTCATTCCCTCGTGCCACCTAACAGAGGTAAGCAAGGTAAAATCTCAACTTAAATAAGAAATGCGTGTTACTAGTATTAAGCTTTTTAGGAAAAACCAACACTGCAGGCATCAATATGTAAGTTCTAGATTAATGACATAGCTCTGCCAGTGAATTAAGTGATAGCGACACTGTATCCCAAACACCACATACCGACTAAGGGGGTCGAACCATAAAAAGATATGTTAACACTGAAAGAAAAATGCAGTTACTTGGAAATTCATTTATTCACAGGTGATCTGTGTGGTCACAGCGATAAACAAATCTGAGTGTTATACACTGCTCTCACTTACTAGGTATTGACCTTAACACACAAGGGCTCAGAATCAAACTTCTTATATTGTAAGACTGAAGATAAGACTAAGGAATGGAGGAAAGAGAAAGAGAGAGGACACGGAGGGAGAAAGGATGAGAGGAGAGGGAATGAAAGGTGACAGGGAGGCTAGAGCTCCCTGGGGACTGCCGGGAAGGGCAAAGCTGGGCTGGGGGCCCCTCCCCCTGTTGCTCTGTGGCAAGGACAGGGGACCTCCTGCAGCTGATGTGTTCCCAGGGACTCTGCAGTCCTGCTGATATCATCGTTTCTACCACTGCTGCCCTGAGAAGTAAATATAAAAGGGCTACAATACTGCAACTGCATCAGTGGCATGGAAAGGTGAGGGAGACGGTAAAGAAACAGGAATCCAACAAACATAAAAAGGTACCAACTTCAGAAGAAAAAAGACAGATCAAAGTAAAAGGGAAACGCTTGAACAGTTATTTTTCAAAAAATAAAATTCTGAGTAGTAAAGGAATTGAAAGCAGAGTCTCGAAGAGATATCTGTATACTCGTGTTCATAGAGCACTCTTCGCAATAGCCAAGAGGTCAAGGAACCCAAGTGTCCATTGATGGATGGATGGATGGATGGATGGATGAACAAAATGTGTCTATACATAGAATGGAATATTATTCAGCCTTAAAAATTAACTTTGAAGACTATGTTAAAGGGGATAACCCAGTCACAAAAAGACAAATACTGTATGATTCCACTTATATGAGGTACCTACAGTGGTCAAATTCATAGACAGGAAGTAGAAGGGTGGTTGCCAGTCTTGGGGGAGAGGGAAATGGGGAATTATTATGTAATGGTACAGAGTTTTAGCTCTGCACGATGAAAAAGTTCTGGAGGCGTTGCACAACAATGTGAATATATTTAATACTACCGAACTGTACACTTAAAAATAGTTAAGATGGTAAATTTTACATTATGTGTTTTTTACTATAATAAAAAAAGAAATTCTGGGTAGTGATTAAAATTCAGGGTACAAACAGAAGAAAAAAAATCCAACCTTATATAAATTGTAGATATTTGATCTAGATGATGAGATTAATAAAACCACATGTCTTTAATTCTCTTTTAAAGTATGAATACAAAAGACTTTAATGGCTGGAGCAAAATCAGTAGGCATGGAAGAAAGGATGTGAATCTGAGCTCCAACGGGCTTCGGCAGTACATTTCCAGAGAAGAGCTGTAGAAAGAAAGGTAGACCCTGTGAGAGATGAACAAGCCAAAGGTTACAAGCACAGTTCTTGTGCCCACAACCATCTTGGCTGATTGTCTGACGACTGCAGACAGCCATTAAAGACTACAGTGACCAAGGGAAACCCCTAGGAAAATCACCATCCCAATTGCACATCTCTCCGTGGCAATTCAAATGAAGATTTGAACTTCCCCTCAGCACCTTGTCAGGAGGTTGAGTTTCTCCTGCTTCCCAAACTCCAGCTCAGGAAAAGTTGATTTGTCCACAGGAGGCGTAGTTTCCAAAGCTGTCTACTGTGAATCTCTGAGAGATGTGGATTGAATTGAGCTTTAGGGTACCAAAGTAGAAGTTCTCAAACAGCTGAAAAGAGAGAAGAAAAACCCAGAATGAACATCTAAAGAATATTACAGATGGAAATATTAAACATCAGGTTCTCTTGTAAAAACACGACAACCATCCCCACAAACCGCTCATGCTTTTTTTTTTTCAGTATTTATTCTGAAAAATGATCCTGGAGAGGAGGGATGGGTGTGGGAGTAAGAAGAGAACAGCAGCTCTTCTCTCTGATTAATTTTAAAGCCTCCTCTGACCAAATGCACTAGAGAAAGAGATCGGAAGAATCATTTCCAAAATTTAATGAGCAGATATGACCAAGAACTTGTAACAAACACCCTAACTCACAGGGCTGACAAAGCTGCTTCCATGACTTCCAGTCACTGCACAAGATGCTAGTTTTGTTACAGCCTGGGTAAAATTTATATAATGCATTCCTCTACCTAGTCAATAACATTTATTAGAAGCACTGACTAAAACAAATAGATTTCCTGACCCACAGATGATTCTGACAACCAGTGAAGAATACAGAACACTTACACACACAAAACAGCCAGAGCAACACTTCTATTGGAGGATAGAACACGCGCAAATGATAATATTTATCCAAAACCTTTCGTTAGACTTGGATTCAAGCCAGCATCCTAAAGTAAATGCTCTTTACACAATTCTTCACTTTAAAAGCTTTCAAGTGTGTCAGAGGGAGGGATAAGCCAAACTCTGAGAGAAATCTGCTCTTGTGATTAGCACATTTATAAGGAGGAATCCAAAGTGACATTGGAATTCATCCCAGGAACACCTGAAACTAATATAAAATAATACTGAGTGTCAACAGTAATTGAAAAATGAAAAATAAAAAACATACACACACAAAAAAATCAACTGTGGAAGAACAAGTTGAGCAGTAAAAAAAAAGACCAAAAAAAGAATTCATCCCAGGAAAATTAAGCCACACTGCTAAGGAGTACCAAAGAGTAAAACAGGGCTTGCCATCTTCTGTTAGGATGCAAGAGTTGCTCTTTCTTTCTTTTTGACATTCAATATTATTTTATAGTAGTTTCAAGTGTACAGCATAGTGGTTAGGTATTTATATAATTTATGAAATGATCCCCCCATAAGTCTAGTACCCATCTGACACTATGCATAGTTTTTACAATATTATTGACTATATGCCCCATACTGTATTTCACATCCCTGTGACTATTTTTGTGACTACCAAACTGTACTTCCTAATCCCTTCATCTTTCTCACCCATCCTCCCCAACCCCTTCCCATCTAGCAACCATCAGTTTGGTCTCTATGAGTTATGAGTCTATTTGTTTTGTTTGTTCGTTTATTCTATTCTTTAGATTCTACATGTAAGTGAGAGCATATGGTATTTGTCTTTCTTGGTCTGACTTATTTCACTTAGCATAATACCCGAAGAGTAGCTCTTTCTTAAAATGTCAGTAAGATCCCAAGAAAGCTTTTCAATATTTATACCCAATAATGCTTGAGTAGAACCTAAGGGTAGGACCTTTGCACATTAGCAAGTGACTGTCTCTTCTCTGATTTTTATACAACCCCCACAGCCATGAACTTCAGCAACTGACGCCTTTCCTCTTCCTGCAATTAATGGCCTAGCAAAACGCCTGGGGTTCATTAAAGGCTAACTTTATAAAAGCCCAGTAAATATTGATTCTTCAACATGACATCAACTTGACCCCAAAGATCTATTTAGAGGTTGTATGCTGCATTGTCTTGTCTTTCAGAAAGGTGATCAGTGCTTGCCTGCATTGATTTAAACAATTAACTCCTCTTCCTAACTTTGATAGCCTGTTCAAACCATATCCACCCTTTTGTGTAAAGAAATACAACCCGAAAAGGTTATCTGCTTATCCCTTTGCTGAATGTTAATTTGAAGTGAAAGCCGTGTCAATGAGACTGACAGTTTACAACTTTGCAAACTGAAGCCTTCTAGGTACAAAGAAGACATAACCAAAGAAGCAATAAAAGACGAGACAAAACAAAACTAAAGGGAACTCATAACACTTCTAACAAATTAAAGATTAGCAGCCTATAGGTCCTCTACCTTCTTCTCTTTGTGCCTACATTTCCAAGTGGTGGAGACACCACAGCTAGAGCTGGAAAGTGACCGACCTCTGACTTCACTTTGCAAATACAGTGCAAGACTTGGCAAAGACGACGACGAGGGAGGGCAGCAGGAAGGCAGAAATGGGCGTGGTGGTCCAGGCCAACTAGACCAGGTTCGATGATAGGAGGGTTCCTAAAAAGCAGTGCCCAAGACTAAGGCTAGAGATATAAGGAGGGTAAATCTGATTAAGAGAGACTGAGGGTCAGGTTCAGAAGACTTCATTCTAGATAGTGGGGAAACCAATGAAGGTTTCTGAGTGAGGTGGGGGCCCAAGATGAAAATTCTGTTATAGGGAAATCAACCTGGGTGTGGTGCTGATTGGAGAAGGGAACAAAAGAAAGAAAGAACGAACGAAAGAAAGCCAGCATGGAGACCAGAGTTCCATCATGAGGGAGACAGTGAGTGTCTCTTGACTAAAGCAGCAGTGGGCCTGCCAAGATTGGAGCAGATGTGAAATACTATGAATGAAACACAAAGAAGATTCGATGATTTTCTGGATGAGAAGAAGGAGGTAAGAAAAGGAGATGAGAACAATCATGGATGACAGAGTAAATGGGGTATATGTGGGTATCATTAACAGCAACAGAACATTTCTGAAACGGAGCTATTTTATAGGGAAAAAATTCAGGTATGTTTACATACTCATGGCTGTATCTTTACCTGTATGTGTCCCAAGCCCTTTCCAAACTAGGGTTTTCCTGGTACATTCCGAGAATACACATTAAAGGCATGAAATCATGTTAAATGGAAGTATACTACCATAAAAAGCTTTACAACTGTCCTTTGTATTATTATTAATTCTTTATATGTTAGAGAAATGAACCCTTTGCATTCTAAATTGCAAATATATATTTTCCCCCAGTATGTCATTTGTTTTTGTTGTTTTTTTTTAAAGATTTTTATTGGGGAATTGGGGGGATGGGAACAGTGCTGGGAATTGGGGGAAGGGGAACAGACAAGTTGCTGTCCTTTTGTTCTTCAGTCTAGTTGTGGAGGACGTTGCTTCACCGGCCCAAGTT